TTAATATAGACTGGAAGACAGACGTTTTGAGGCCCTAATGTCCTTAATCCATCTTGTCAAATATGATAAATACCAGTGAAATAAAATATACTCATTTTATTATGTTTTTCTTGGAGATTGTTGAATTTCATTGAAATCAACGAACGAATCAACGTTACACCATCATTAGAAACCTGTAAGTACTGGACGGCCGTTTCGTCCTTGCATCGGACTCATCAGCAGTGTACACCCAAGATCCCTGCTCGCAAGAATCGAACACAGGGCCTTCAGTGTCGCACGTAAACGTTCAAACTCTAGATCTCTGTGCCGGCAAATGGTTTCATAACCTTGCGCAAAATTATCGGCGAATTCAGAGAAACTATTGAATTTTTTGGTTTTCAAATGGTTTCATTCAATATTATTTACCTACATACTTACTTACTCATTTACTTACTTACTTACTTACTTACTTACTTACTTACTTACTTACTTACTTACTTACTTACTTACTCACTTACTTACTTACTTACTTACTTACTTACTTACTTACTTACTTACTTACTTACTTACTTACTTACTTACTTACTTACTTACTTACTTACTTACTTATGCACTTACTTACTTACTTACTTACTTACTTACTTACTTACTTACTTACTTACTTACTTACTTACTTACTTACTTACTTACTTACTCACTTACTTACTTACTTACTTACTTACTTACTTACTTACTTACTTACTTACTTACTTTCTTACTTACTTACTTACTTACTTACTTACTTACTCACTTACTTACTTACTTACTTACTTACTTACTTACTTACTTACTTACTTACTTACTTACTTACTTACTTACTTACTTACTTACTTCCTTACTTACTTACTTACTTACTTACTTACTTACTTACTTACCTAATTTCTTACATTCGTTACCATAAATGGAGCATAGGCCACCGACCGGCATTCTCCAACCTACTGTGTCCTGCCCTTTTCTTTCTAGTTTTGTCCAATTATTTTACATTCTTTTCATGTCTGTCTCCATATCACTCTTTTTTAGTCTATTACAATTAATGATTTTCGCGTGACATTGAAATCGTAAACCATCTGTTCAATCAGAATGCTGGAGTCCAATGTGCTCCATTTACTAGGAATGAGTGTTTTTCAGTGACACTGTTCACCCACGCCTCCTGCTGATCGCAGAATTCGAACCCAGGACCTTTAGATGTACTGACAAGTGCTTAATCTCTGGACCTTTGAGCCAATATCTAACGCTGTTGGTGTATATCTTCGATCAATCCACGGTCTAGCGCCACATCCTCCTCAGTCTTCCTTCAGTACTGCTTCAAACCTAAGCAGGGTTAAACTCCACCAGTCACGACTTCTCACTAGAACTCGGATAAACATCCTTACAAGGTTAGTCACTAGTAATCACATGATAATTTGCATAGAAGGATTGTGGAGATTGTTGAGTTGATCACCACTAGGAACCTGAAAGCATCGATAAATGGCCGTTTCATCCTGGTTGGTATTGGACTCATCAGTGACAGTGCGCCACTTCCACGATTCTAATAGAGATCGATAACAATGATCGATTCATGATTTCAAAAGAAAAAATTTCAACTCAACAAATCTCTACAATCGTTTCATACAAACTACCATTCCTTATCCTACACAAAACAATTGATTTCAAGAGGAGAGACAATTGAAAAATCATTTATATTTTTTGACTCCTTATATTTCAGTGGTATATATCTATATATATATATATATTTTTCCAATATATCATAATTAAATACCAGTATGGTGTATGCTACTTATACGAACGATATAAGTAGTAGTAGTATAAGAAGGGACGTGAAAGAAGAAGTCTCATGGTCAGAAGGGGAAAAAACGGAAAGCAAATGGAGCAAAAGCAAGAAGTAAATAGAGTACCAACATGAAGGAAGGAAACGAAGCAACAACAGGAATGGAAGAAGAAGGATGGAGTGTTGGAAGTCACGACTACTCAAAGATGGTGTGCAAATAGAATAAGTATTCTATGTAATGTTTTCGTTTTTTTTTACTGACTCAGAGTGTAAATTTGCATAATACAATCTTCCCCGCCTGCCTCAGTCTTCTCACCAGTAGTTTCATTATACAAAAATTATATTCTATCGCTAGACATGACATGATAACAATAGTTTATTTTTTAATTGTACACAATTTAGAAAATTAAACTAATCAACTAAAGAGGAATAAAGACAAGAAGACAGACAGTAAATTAAATTAAGAGGCATACACATGTGTATGAACCATTGTTTCGCCCACTAAAATATATATATATGTATATCTGTATATGTTTTCCTGAAATATATATTTCATGATTATTTTAGGGTGTAAATAGTAGCAAAATCTGTAGATTGATCAAAGTTAGACATTCACATCGTTAGATGCCAGCCGAGTGGTTCAGACTTAAGGCGTTCTCACGCAAAACCCGAAGGTACTGGATTTGAATCCTGCTAGGTGCACGAGTCGTGAATGCGCACTGTTGATGAGTCCCATACCAGGACGAAACGGCCGTCCAGTTCATTCAATATCCTAAGAGGATTATTTGTAAATCTATTTCTGTTGGTCGATTCTTATTGGTCAATTCCTACTGGTCAATATTAAGGTCGTCCTAACTGTCACTGTCACATACTTCAATGTTGTTTCCTACTGATCGTTCTAACTATCAATGTCACAGACTTCAATGTTGTTTCCTATTTGATCTAACTGCATAAATATGCAATATCTGTAACGTTTTATGACCCGGACCCGGATCCCTAGTCCGGGATCTTGATTCTCTTCTGGACTGGGACGTCGTACTTTCTGGATACATGTAGAATACATGTTCTACTTCATATCAAGTCTTCTTCTTTTCTCAATATGGGGGTTGAGACAATCGGATTAGAGTAGAATGTCGTGTCGCCGGATCCTCGGTCCTCGCTCTCGTTTATTGACTAAGGTAAACTCGTAATAGTTCAAGCATATTACAAATGATGTGTTTACGTGCATGTGTAACACTAATGGTGGTCTAACAATGACTGAGCAATGATTACAATCTGTAACCAACACTAATCTCAATAATTCTAATTGAGAAATAGTATATAAACTGTTGCGATAGAGTTGATAAAAAGCTTATGAGAAATACAAAACCTTTCTTCTAATAAGTGAATCACATATTGAAATTAGGTTGATTTTGTTTTAAGAGTATGATATAAGCTCTTTAGATTATTCTACTTATATATAGTTAGTCGACAGCAACCAATCAAAATTGAGGTCAGCAGGACAAGCTACCGGTAAAACGTGGAAAAGTTTGTGCTGATGATGTTGTTGTTCAAGAGAAGAACAATGAAAGTTTCACAACCAAAACAACATACAGCTCAGTGAACGGAACACCACCACAATCATCCACCGGAGCTAGAAATTTCCTCCACCATCTTAATATATAGTTACGCCTGTTATCTTTGAGTGGAGCATCGGCCGCCAACTATCATTTTCCAATAAACTGTGTCCTCGACTTTCCTTTCCAGTTTGACGGCATCGCTGTTCATTCCTTTCATGTCTGATTCTGATGTTCAGAGCAGTATGTTCCTTGGTTTACCACTTATGTTTTGATCTTAAAGATTTCAAGGTAATAGCTCTTTCCTTGTGACTCAATTGGGTAAATTCTACAATATGTATTCTATCCACTTCTAGCATATTTTCTTAATTTCTTCCTTAGTTCGTTCTCTTGCATCACACTTTCTTGCTGATATCATCTGGACGACGGATCTGGAGTATGTTGCGCAGACAACGTTTAATAGACACCTGTATCTTTTAGATGATGGCCTCCATAGTTTTTGTCACCATCGCGTACCCACAACTTCGCAGTCAGGGATCGAACAACGGACTGTCGACCTCCTGCGTGAACATTTCATCTCTATACCAGTAAGTTGGTATCAAATGTTGTTGAAATCTAACTTCAATCAATCCACAATGTTGCACGATCTCATTTGTTAGCTTTTCTGGGTAATTGCCCCACACCTGACACAGTAAAACTCTACTGGTCACACGCTAATTGATGAGCGTCAAGCTAGGAAGAAACAGCTGTCCATTGCTTTGAGGTTTCTAATAGTGGTCTAACAATGACCGATTCATGATTTCAATGAAAGAATGAAAAACAGGTGACATTCTATTTGACTGTCTAAACTCTATATATAATTTGACATTTCTTACCAAATTAAATTACTTTTAAACTACTATAATTAGTAGTATTGTTTCAAAAAGTGAACACTGAATATTGTCTTTTAAATATCAAATATTTTGGCGCAACAAATGAACAAACGACCAAAAAAAGATGATAATGTATGTAATGAATCAGGTATTGTAAAGCCGCGATTAGAAATCTGTAAAATAACAGTGATGCAACTCCAGTGGGTGATTTCTACATTGTGTTCCATCCACCTCCAGCGATTTGACCTAATTTCTAGCTCAACTGAAATCTGGTTTGTTCTATCTCACTTTAGGTTGTTGGTGATGGTGTCTGATCATGAATCGATCAATGTTAGTCAGATCACTAGTAGAAATTTTAATGCACTGGATGGCCGTTTCGTCCCAGTTTCAGACTCATCAGTGTCAGCGCTAATCCATGACCCTCACTCATGTGGAATCGAACTCATGATCTTCAGTCTTCCGCATGAACGTTTAACCTTTAGACAACCGAAAAAGTATTCAACGGTGTCAATGTCGAACGTCAATCAATCAGTGAATGTAAAAAACTCAATTCATTAGAACTCGTACAGTTTAGAGACCCGCGATCTGAACAAATGAATATTTTTATGAAATAACTCTTTTAATTTCCCAATTCGCGTGACGTTGGTTGGTAATGAGAATGTAGACATGGATTCAGTTGGATGAGTTTATTTCATACAGACAGATGAGAGAATATGAAGCATAAAAATTAACTGAAGCAAAGTGAAGTGGAGATGGGTGAGTTGAATTAACTCGATGCAATGAGGCATGACTAAGTAAGTGTATTTAAAATCAGACAAAAAAATAAGCCATGTAAGCAGCACGCATATACACACCTACACACACACACACACACACAAGCAATCGAATGAAAACAATCAAGGTTACAGGTAAGTGATTTCTAAGTTTGAAAAAGACTCGTAGAAAAAACGAATGTGTAATAAATTAATTTGTCCAAAGGTTTGGAATAAGTCCAGTGAGCTCAATATATTTGTACACAAACTAAAACAGTTTACTTAACAAACCGGCTAAGATTAAAACTATTATTGGTTTCAAAGGTAGTGAAAATAGATGTCTATCAGCTTTCAATGCGAGTGTTAAGCACAATGTACTGAATAAAACTGAGCTTTCCACCGTTTTTATTCTATCGATGATAAATACTCTAAATGGATTATATTTTTCTGTTATGTCCGTGACTAGGTACGCTTGAAGCTATTACGAGTTCACCTTAGTCGATAAATGCGATCGGGGCAATTATCAGCGTCCAGGTAGGCTACCTTGGATCCCAAGCTGTAAAACAGAAGCCTTGGTAAGCGTAGAAAGTATATTCTACAAACACCCAGAAAGCACAATGCAATCAAGCACACAACTCTCGTTTATTTATACATCATAGAAACGTCCTAGTGGGACAGTTGCGAAAATAGCACACTAAAATTACACAGCAGCCAATCACAACCATGGATTTTCCTGGTGGGAATTTGGAAATCTCAAGGTCAACTGATCAGCCCATGCTGGCAAACATGAAATCAAAAAAAAGGCATTTATCAAGTGAGTTCTGGGGATCTAACATCCGCAACATTTTCTTAAGCCTGTTACCCATCATGAAGCATAGACCGCCAACCAGCATTCTTCAATCTACCCTGTCTTGGTGGGTCTTCCTTTTCTAGTTCTGTCCAATTTTTGTTCTTCATACTTCGCATGTCTGTCTCCATTTTGTCAGTCTAATGTGTTTGTTGATCTTCATCTTTTCTTTCAGTCTTGAGGATTTCAAGTGAGAACTTCTCTTCTGACACATTTAGGTGCTTTCCTCTATGTGTGTCCTATCCGATTTTCAGCGCTTCTTCCTAATTTCTTCCTTCGCTGGAATCTGTTTTGTTCTATTTTCGTAACATGATTCTAAAGAACTTTATCACAAATAGATCTCCATGAGCTAAACGATGTAATAGGTGGAGATTGTGTTAGACATTCAGTCGTATTCAGACGCATTGCTGGCCCTTCGAAATATTTTTGAATAATACAACTCTATAAACAGCTTGTCCTTTATTATTACTTTTGAAGTCGTTAAATCCCCTGAACTCATTTGGAAAATGTACTAATTTTGGATTTTTTATGTTTTCGCGCATAAGCTACTTAGTTGACCTTTAGCTTACATTTCCCACTCGGAAAATCCTTGACTGTCATTTGGTTGATGGATTATTTGAGTACACTATTTCTGTGGCTCTCCCGGGGACATTTCTATCATGTATCAATAAGCTCTATTTGTGTGCTTAGCAACCAAGTATTTTCTGGTTACTTGTAGAAAATACACTTTCTATGCCTTGTCAAGACATCTTGATATAATTAGCCGGGCCGAGGACAATTGGATTAGGATAGACTATCGTGTCACTGGATCATTTGTCTTAGCTCTCGTTTACCGAGTAAGGTAAGAACTCGTCATAATTTCTAGCATATCGATTGACGAACGTATCAATTATTAATATTACTGGCAGTTTGCAGTCACGTCCGAATAAAGTATTTTAAAATCCTAATGACATATTGATTGTGTAAAATACATCTTCAAATTGTACGAAGGGGTAGTGTGTGTGTGTGTGTGCGTGTACAAATATGTCAAACTCACAGGGCTCGGACCCAGTCAAATTGAAGAAAAACGAATCAAACCATCCTTCCCGAGCTATTCACACACACATACACACACACACGCGTCTTTCAACCTTGTCACCTATTTGTACATAACTTTGGTAGTTTTTACTTGATTGCGTAAGTACATTGGTTAGTTCTGCCACTACATGTCTGATGTATTTTCAACTGATTATAAATACTTAGTCATGCCTCAATGCGTTAAGTCGGTTCGCTCGCCTCCTCTGCTTCGCTTCGCCTAGCCTCGCCTCGCCTCGCTTCACTTTGCTTTGCTTTTAGGCTTTAACCTCTCAAGTCTACGTGCGCTAACGACTGACTGCATGGAAGAAGTAAACTCATCCGACTGAATCCAAAATCGGCTTTTTTTATTTAATAACCATTGTCTCACAATCACGGTTCACCTAACCATGATGTAGGCGAAGTTGAAAGGGAAGATTTATGTTTTTCATCGCATACAACCTGATCATTACGTTTATACAAAAAAGAAAATGGAGTTAGTTCACCGGTGGTCACTTTTTAGTGACAATTTTTTTCATACGGAATGTCAACCGAAACAGAGTTACTAAGTAAAATCGGAACACCATTTCGTAAATCGTTAATTTGCAAAATATCAGTCCGTCATATCGAACTGGACTGTTCCTGTCGAAAAACATCAATCCATTGTCACTACTATTCATGCGTTTCATACAAATTCCATTGTGTTCTTCTAACTCTTCCTTTCTTGATCTTCCCCCATCTTCTGCTGCCAGACATTACGTTGACACTCACGTCATATACTACTTATAAGTAGTTCACACCACACTACTACTACTACTGTGGTGTGTGCTACTTATACGAACGATATAAGTAGTAGTATAAGAAGGGACGTGAAAGAAGTCTCACGATCAGAAGAGGAAAACGGAAAGCAAATGGAGCAAAAGCAAGAAGTAAATGGAGTACCAACAGCAAGGTAAGGAAGCGACAACAGGAATGGAAGAAAGATGGAGCGTTGGAAGTCACGACTCAAAGATGATGTGCAAATAGGGTTTTCAATGTAATGTTTTCGTTTTTAATTGACTCAGAGTGTAAATTTGCATAATAAAATCTTTCGCGCTTGCCTCAGTCTTCTCACTACTACTACTACTACTACTACTACTACTACTCACCCTACTACTGTAGTGAACGAGAACACAGGTGGGGCAACCGGATTGTAGTTAACGAAAATTACAGAGTTACTCAGTAAAATCGGGAAACCATATCGTAAATTGTTCATTTCCAAAATATCAGTCCATCATATCGAGCTGGAGTGTTCGTGTGGGAAAACATCAATCTATTGTCACTATTCATGCGTTTCATACAAATTCTATTGTGTTCTAACTCTTCCTTTCTTGATCTTCCCCCATCTTCTGCTGCCAGACATTACGTTGGCACTCATGTCATATACTACTTATAAGTAGCTCGCACCACACTACTACTACTACTGTGGTGTGTGCTACTTATACGAACGATATAAGTAGTAGTATAAGAAGGGACGTGAAAGAAGAAGTCTCACGGTCAGAAGAGGAAAACGGAAAGCAAATGGAGCAAAAGCAAGAAGTAAATGGAGTACCAACAGGAAGGAAAGGAAGCAACAACAGGAATGGAAGAAGGATGGAGCGTTGGAAGTCACGACTCAAAGATGGTGTGCAAATGGAGTATTCAATGTAATGTTATCGTTTTTAATTGACTAAGAGTGTAAATTTGCCAAATACAATCTATTGAGCCTGCCTCAGTCTTCTCACTACTACTACTACTACTACTACTACTACTACTACTACTACTACTACTACTACTACTACTACTACTACTACTACTACTACTACTACTACTACTACTACTACTACTACTACTACTACTACTGCTACTACTACTACAACTACTAGTACTACTACTACTACTACTACTACTACTCCGACTACTACTACTACTACTACTACTACTACTCCGACTACTACTACTACTACTACTACTCCGACTACTACTACTACTACTCCGACTACTACTACTACTACTACTACTACTACTCCGACTACTACTACTACTACTACTACTACTCCGACTACTACTACTACTACTACTACTCCGACTACTACTACTACTACTCCGACTACTACTACTACTACTACTACTACTACTACTCCGACTACTACTACTACTACTACTACTACTCCGACTACTACTACTACTACTCCGACTACTACTACTACTACTACTACTCCGACTACTACTACTACTACTACTACTACTACTACTACTATTACTACTACTACTACTACTACTACTACTACTACTACTACTACTACTATTACTACTACTACTACTACTACTACTATTACTACTACTACTACTACTACTACTACTACTACTACTACTCCGACTACTACTACTACTACTACTACTACTACTACTACTAATCACACCACTACTACCACTCCTACTACTACTAATTTTGAGAATATGCTGTACATTTCACTTGCCAGACAGACGTTGACTACCAAACAAACAACCGAAAAAGAAAAGTAACATATTTGAATTGCTAAAAATAGATAAATTTGCATATTTTGCAAATTAGTAAGTAATCATGAACAGAGAAAAAAAATATAAATAAAATGAAATATATTTCTCAAATAATTCTTGAACACAATTTATGTTTGTTACATATTATTCAAGCTGCTTAGCATATAAAAAAAAATATCTTCTGCCTTAAATGAAACGATTTGATGATAAATGACTGGGTGTTTTACATTCAATCAGTCTGTTACAACGTAGAACTTTGTACTTATGTACGTACGTAAGTGTACATCAGTTCATATGCAGATGCAATTTTCAGTTCAAATCCTATAGTGGTAGAGATAGTGAAAGTATTAGCGATAATGGAGAAGGTTAGCGTTACTCACTTACGCCTATTACCCCCAATGGAGCGTAGGTCGCCCACCAGTTTTCTCCAACCAACTCTGTCCTCGGCTTCACTTTCCAGTTCTGTCCAATTCTTGTTCATTCTTCTCACGTCTGTCTCCATTGCTTGGCATAATTTGTTCTCTGGTCTTCCTCTTTTCCTTTTGCCTTGAGGGTTTCATGTGAGGGCTTGTCTCGTGACGCAGTTAAGTGCTTTTTGTAGTGTGTGTTCTATCCACCAGCTCCACCACTTCTTCCTGATTTCCTCCTCCACTGAAGGAATCTGGTTTGTTCTCTCCCACAGTAGGCTGTTGCTGATGGTGTCTGGCCAACGAATACGAAGTATTTTGCGAAGACAACTGTTAATAAACACTTGTATCTTCTGGATGATGGCTTCGGTAGTTCTACAAATTTCAACTCTATACAGTAGAACTGTCTTGACATTTGTATTGAAAATCTTGATTTCGGTGTTGATTGATATTTTTTTGGAGTTCCAAATATTTTTCACTTGTAGAAACGCAGCCCTTACTTTGCCAATCCGCACCCTCACATCTGCATCGGATCCAACTTTCTCGTCGATGATGCTGCCCAGATATGAAAAGGTGTCGACGTCCCCCAAGGCGTGTCCATCAAGAGTGATTTGGTTGACGCATGTTGTGTTGTATCGGAGAATTTTGCTTTTCACTTTTTGTATGTTGAGACCTATTGCTGCTGAGGCTGCTGTTACACTGGTTGCCTTCTGTTGCATTTGTTGTTGCGTGTGAGATAGAAGAGCCAGGTCATCTTCGAAGTCCAAATCGTCCAGCTGCATCCTAGCTGTCCACTGAATACCGTGCTTCCCTCCAGATGCTGATGTCTTCATAATCCAGTCGATCACCATGAGAAAGAGAAAGTTTGAGAGTAAGAAACCTAGCCTAACACTGGTCTTCACCTCAAACGAGTTTGTCAGCTGACCTTCGCGCACGATTGTGCAGTTGAATCCGTCGTAAGAATTCCGTATGATGTTGACTATCTTCTCAGGCATGCCGTAATGTCGAAGAAGCCTTCATCATATTCCAGAACTATAATTCAGTGAGATAAGTTTACAAAAACAAAGGTAAAGATGTTTACGAATCGAGAAGATTAGGATTTGAGAGAACACAAAGATTGGATGCACCTGCGCCATTCCAAACGATTATAAGCCATGTGATTCAAGGTCTCTAACCATCGTTGACTTTCATTATTTCATTGTGTCGTAGATATTTAAACCAAGTTGAATCACAACGAATACAGTTACTTAGTATTTTGTCATTAATAATGATTATTTTCATCTTGTAAGCATACACTCACGACCGTATACAGTAGATTTGAACTAAGCATCTTCGGTCTTACGGACGAATACTTAAGGTCTTGACCATCAAGTCAGCATGTAATATGGTGTGTGGCGGTGTGTGCACTGTTATGTCAAGAGCCCATAAGCCTTGCTTTGGACATTCTTCTCAAGTTATTTACATGTCTTCCGACCTTGTCAACTTATTTTTATTACTTACGCCTTTTGCCCCCCACTGGAGCATAGGCCGCCGATCAGTGTTCTCCAACCTACGCTGTCCTGAGCTTCCCTTCCCAATCCTGTCAAATTTTTGTTCATTCTTCTTATTTCTTTCTATATTTCTTGGAGTAATGTGTACTTTGGTCTTCCTCTTTTCTGTTTACCTTGAGGGTTCCAATATAGGCTTTGTCTTGTGAGGCAGTTGGGTGCTTTCCGCAGTGTAAATAAAGCTATGACTTAATCCCTTACACGATTGACTTCTAATCAACTAAGTATGCATGTTTTAAACTCTATTTTGATTACTTTGTATTACATTTCCATTGAGAAGTAATCAACTGCTTAAAGCCATGTACGTGATAAATCGTATCCGCTTCATAGGCAACTGTGTAGAAGTTTAATATTGGAAGAACCTGTTGTACTATCATAGAATAGAAATAAACATGAGCAGATTCTGAAAACATATGATATGATTACTCGTTTAGAAAACTCCGCTTGGAGCCCATCTATGGCTAAGCCGGACCTTGTCAACCACTGGTTTTATCTTGCTTGTTTCTCTTGTAAAGACAGTGTGTGTGTGTGCGCGCATACTAACTTCCCTTATCTCAAGTCTGGGTTATTTTGTTTGACCATAAATATTTAATGATAATATTACTTTAGATGGAGCTGGCTTGCTCACCTTCAACACTTCGGTTCAATTTACATGTACGCTTTTCGCTCTCATGCCTGTCTGCACGATCGATAACTTGAAATAAATTCATCCAGCCGAATCTGTTAGCAGAACACAGATTGAATTAAAGCATGATTGCGTTGTTGCACGCTGATTGGCTCTTTCTGATCGAAATCAGCGCTAATCGATACTGAGGGAACATTCTAGAATCTTCTCATGTAAGAAAACCATAAATATACTAACGTTTTGAGCTTCTTGACTTTCATTTAACCTTGTTATTTGAATACAATCTATTTCCTGTTCAACTGTGTTCTGATTTAGCAGAACGTCTCGAGTAGTAGATGTAGGCTACCTGGTTGGCGTCTGCCAGACGAAAGTCACCAATGGTTAGAGACCTTGAACGACATGGCTCAGAATCGTTTGCAATGGCGCAGGTGCATCCACTACTAGAGTTATCTCAAATTCTGACCTTATGAATTCCTCATCATCTTTACCTTTCACCTTCCAAATTTATCTTACTGAATTATACTTCTTGAATCGTATCTTTGCTCCCTAATCTTCTCCATTACTGCTAATACTTCTACTATCACTATCAATCTTGGATTTCAACTGACAGTTGCGTCTCTATGCTGATGAAGCATGGCAATCTGAACTGATGTACTTCGTACGTACGAAGTTCTGCGTTGTATCTGTCTGTCTGTCTATCTGTCTCGAGTGAATCGGTGTCCGACAATACTAAGCATCAAGAATAGTTGGGTTGTAATAAAGAGAGAGAATTATAACAGAATCTGTATTGGGCTTCTTCGTACAAACGAAGTTCACCTCAGTATGAGATACGGAAATTGAAGCGGTGGCTTATTTCATTGTATACTCGTTCACTCGTATAAATTAGAGTCAGGTTGTTGACTACCAAAAGTGATTAACCCTACTTTAAATCTAACGCAGGCAAAGTATGTCCAATCCCAACAAATCCATGATAATATACCTGTCTCATAGTCGACACGTTTGAACTCCATTGTTTACAATTTCTGATTAGAAGAGCATCGAGAATGTGAAGAGGTTAAGAGTTTGCATGTAGTATGACCAACGAATTCAGGTCACATTTCAACTTTTGGGATCGGTTCGATCTACTCTATCTCACTCACTCATTCACTTACTTACTCTATCTCTTGTTACAATAGTAGTGTAGTGAAGTAGAACACAGGTGGGGCAACCGGATCGTAGTTAACGAAAATTACAGAGTTACTCAGTAAAATAGGAAAACCATATCGTAAATCGTTGATTTGCAAAATATCAGTTCATCATATCGAACTGGACTGTTTCTGTTGCAAAACATCAATCCATTGTCACTATTCATGCGTTTCATACAAATTCCATTGTGTTCTTCTAACTCTTCCTTTCTTGATCTTCTCCCATCTTCTGCTACCAGCATTACGTTGACGAACACGTCATATACTACTTATAAGTAGCTCGCACCACAGTAGTAGTATATAAATGAAATCAACTTTTCTACAAACTGAAACAGTATCATATATACATTTTCTATAGCAAAATTTTACTTACATTAACAACAACAACAACAGAAAAATACATTTCATGATAAATTTTCAACAACAAAAAATAAACTTTGGCAAAAAAATATCAGCAAACCACTCACTCACTAATGAATGAATGACATTTACATTAATATTTAGATAGTTTTATTTATATATAAATGAAGGGAAAGAAATAAATTCTACTCTTAATGTAACAGAGATTTCAGTTTTTTCTCGTTGGTTAATGGTTAATTCATAGTTGGCTGTCTAGCATTTTTAGAATATATATATATATATATATATATATATATATATATATATAAAGCCTGACTCAATACCGCACCGATACCATGATCACTTGCATCTGTGGCCACTGTAAACAGTT